CTAATAAATTTTATATAGCCAAGACAAAAACATGCATTTAGGGAGGTATTGCATTTATAGAGATTGCATTTAGGGAGGTTTGACTGTACTACAATTAACATTTACCTAAATTATATTATTATGTTATTTATTAGTATTACTATTTTACTCTTATGAGTTAAAATTTAAATATCTTACTACAAAGAGTTCAAAATATTTCTGATTCATTTTGAACATTAAATCAATAATAACTTCACTAATATTTTCTTGTAAATCTTGTAGATTTTGAAAAAAATGGAGTAATGAATCCAAGTGAGCACACAAAGTTATTTTCTTTATATTAAACTACCTTATACTCCTCATTTACTAATATCTATCATTCTAGAAAATTTTTTGCTGATTTTACTTGATTGAATATATCAGTGATATACTGCATTCTTGAAAGTTTATTTGTCTAATAATATACTTGCTGATACATATGTAATAATGAATTAATTAAGTTTTTGTTGTAGAGATGTTTATAAACTTCTATTTTTCGCAAATTTTTGCTAGTATTTTGTTTTATCCATGTTATAGCACTTATAGTATAAACAAAAAAAAAAGATTAAAAAATTAAATAATATTTAGCATATAATTTCTTTTTTTTAATAAAAAAAAGAAACTAGATAATCAAATTTACTCTTTAATATATTAATCAAACCAAAGAATTATTTTATAACATTACTAAAATTTATTATTCTATTTACCTATAGGTAAATTTGATTCACGATATATAGGATGTTCATGTGCTAAATACTACACATATATTATTGCTTACTGTTCACATAAATCTATTTTAATTGTTATAACCCCATTACATGAGAAGTGTTCAATAGCAGGTTGAATTTCATTTATTCGTTTAACAGGTTTGTTATCTGGTTATTTATATTGATGATCAGTTCTTTGTACATAGCCAAGACAAGCTGTCACACATTCTATATACTGATATTCTTCATATTAAGGTATAGATTCTGAAGCTCCCAGTAATACTTTGATCCTTCTTGAAAAGATGCAGAAAATGTTTTAACTATGGTACGAAACTTATCTTCTAAATTTTGATCAAGTTCTGAAGATAAATTTTCTTTATTAACCAAGTCTTCTTCAATCTCTACTATTATTAAGAATTTTACTTGGTTATCTATTTCTTCATCCCTAAATTTAAAAGCTATAACCTCTTCAAGATTGCACATATCATAAACAAATTCATTCTCATCACTTTCATTATCCTCAATATCTGAAGATTCATTATCACCTAAGAGAAGGTAAGAGATATTTTTGTTTGAAGGAAGGGATAATATACTTTCAGTATCCAAATGAAGAGATGGTGTATGAATGATATCTAAAGGAATGGATGGTGAATCAGCAATATCTAAAGAAATAGATGGTGTATCAGCAATATTTAAAGGAATAGATGGCATATCAGTAATTTCTAAAGGAAGGGATGGTGTATTTTTGATATTTGAAGAAAGGGTCTTTGAAGGTTTATTTTTAGATTTCTTTCTAAGCTTTCTAGCTTTTTTTTTTATCTTTTTGTCTTTAGCACATGGGTTACATCTGGCAAAGATTTGAATTTTACTTCCACTTTGCCTTGTGAATTCACTAATTGGTTTGTCCTTTTTACAACGAGTGCAATGACGAGTTTCTTGAATTGTAGTGTTTGAAGTAGACATTTTTTAATTAATTTGTATGTCAAAGACAAATTTCTTTTAATTAAAGCGTGTTGCAAGTTATAATAACTACTTGTTATTTATACTAAAAGTCCCCGTTTTATAATAAAATTGATGAAAAATTTAATAAATATAATTTCGAAAAAACCTTTATTTTCATAAAAATAATAAATTACATGTAAAAAAATTTTTCGCTTTTACATTTATGTTCGCTATATCGATTTATTATGTTTAATTAAAATTTTCATTTACATATCGATAAATTATGCAAATTTGATTTCTCTAAATGAAATTTTGTATTTTACGTATCAATAAATTATGTAAATTAGATCTAATTTAATTTTACCTTTGACAATTAATATGAATATAAAAATTTTCGCCTTAACATGTATATGTCGATTTATTATTTGTAAATTCGAACAATTTCGCTGTTAACTTTTAATTTACATGCATCAATTAATAACGATAACTATATTAATTATATGTATAATATACAGTTAATATTAACATCAGATATCAATCTTTGGATTTTGAAAAAAATGCATAAAGCTTCCGGGATACATCGAAGGGGTCGGAAACGTCGGCAATCACATGGTCGCGAATTTTTTCTGCCACCACTATGTTATCTGTTATCAAACATGCAGCAAACATTATTCCATACTAATTCAAATAAATAAATTTGTAACACTTATATTGAATGAATGAATAGCTAGTTTACCCCTCGTCTACATTATTTAGACAGAATTTAAGTAATTTTTGAATTTTAGGGTTAGGGTATCGGGTTTATATAAAATAACCTCCACCTCAAAATACATATATAAAAAAATATCAGACGTATAAATTTTTATTATACATAACACCAAATGTATCATTTAATTGTTAATTTTATTACACAATGTATAGTTTATAAATTTAATATATTCATAATATAGTATACTACAGTTATACCTGGGTTATATCTCCACTGGGTTATATCCCAACCTGAGTTATATCCCCATATTTAAGCAGAATAAATTTCCTTTTTTTATA